TTCAGTTTGAAGAAATACTTGAGAAAATTATCTTAAGAAGTTTGTTGAATGAGTGTGTTGGTGACGGGCAGAAGTTTACAACATCGATAGGAAAGACAAATTGATCAAATTTACATATTTCATTTAAACTTAATTCTCATTCACTATGTATCACAATCAGTTAACTCAATGAACGTGAACAGGTTTGAGTATAAATATGTACATCAGTCGACTTTATAGGACCTTTTCCCCATGAAATTCCACAGCATAATTTTTGAAGTTTTGAACTTGGGTTTTTGAGTCGCAGCACCGTTTTTAACTCAGATTAGATAGCTTGACTAAAATCGTGCATGCCATATTTACAAAATATTTGTAAACATGACCTAATGCTTTTAACCAGAACAACAACACGTTCCAGTTTCCTGGTTTAGTCAGCAATACTGTGCCTGTTATGCCTAATGTTTCCTAAAGTTGTCAAAACCTAATTCAAAAGTTAAACCAGGTAAGAATTCGGTTTTTGACCCACCTCATATTCAAAATCTTTTAGAAAACTTGACCGGTACAAAACAGTAAAATTTTGTGCTGGCTAATTTGAATATAAATTGGCCAAGTTTATTGTTACTCTTCTTCGGCGAAATGCCCTCTACTCTCTTAAAAATATGGTATGCTCAGGCATCCATTGATTTCTCAATACTAAACTTGATATCGCCTGGTATTAAAAATATACCGGTCTATAAAAATTTCCGGCAATGCGGCTAAACTTTAATATGTTCTTAAATAGACGGTATTATTTATCAAAATCAATAAGGTCAATCATGAATACCAGTTGGCTATGATTATTTTAATACTGGATTTCTAAGAGTTATTTCGGAATACAATATGTAAATATACATTTTTTCTAGTTTCCAGATCAAGAAAGTTAATTTGTATCCTCAATTTTTTTCAGATTTAAAGAGTGCCCGCATATTGTAAGTGTCAAGGTTCCCACTGTTGGTTCAAGCAGTTAACAGTTAATTTTGCATATATAAAAAGCATCAAAATTGACAAATTGCATAAGCTTTCTAAAACCGAAAACAGAATTTGATTATCTCTTTCCGTTAGAAAATGATAGCACAAAATGTAGAGGAGGTGGAAAAATTAGTTTGCCACTCGTGTGAAAAAGTGTTTCTCGAATTGGAAAAGGGCTCATGACCGCATCATTCTTGAAGGCATGCCCCGGAAAAAATTAGTCACACACTAGACATATCTAAGGATCGTAAAAATTCAAAATCTAAAATTTCCCCGGGTCAACCTGTTCGTCTGAAGACCATTATACTGACTAGAAACGTGAAAAAATCTTTTAGAGGCAACCCCAACATACCAGTGACGGCTGCACCCAGACAACTAAATATTTCAAAAACCTAACTCCGCAAAATCAAAGCCAGTAAGATGGGCTGCAAAACGTACAATATTAAAACCGCGTCAAAATACAAAGAAGATGAAATAGCTGGAGCTAAAACAAATTTTCCAAATTTTTTTTAGAAAATGTTGAAATCGACTCCAAGAATTTTCACGTCGTGGATGATTAAAACTACTGTCCCCTTGACCTCGAAGCATCAATCGTGTAAAGTCCTACTCATGTAGAAGTAAAAATGGCGTTCGTTCGAAATATAAATTCAAAGCCAAGCAAAATGTCCAATGAAGTAAATAATCTGGCTGGCGATCGACCCAAATAGGAGCGTCTCAGATCCATTCGCTTCCACCAAGGATATGAACTTTGAACTTTAGTTGAAAGCTTGTATCATCAAGACATTGACCCCCTCTGTCATAGACAACCATGTTTTATTCTGGACGAACATGGCTACGTGTCACAATAACAAAATAGTGACAGGGTCCCTTCGAGGAAAAAACTTGATTTTGACGAGAAAAAAGAAAACGCTCCAGAAGTATCCCAGTGTCGACCCATTGAAAGATTTTGGCGATAAATGAAGAAATATTACTCTTATGAAAAAAGGACACCAAATTTTTTGAAAGCATTTGGGCGGGTTATGGAGATAACCGTCATAGAAGTTAGTAAAATGAGTGGAAAACCGGTGATGAGAGGTGTGCGACAAATTCTTCTTTCGACCGGCATGGAAGATGTATTTTGACCATTGAATCACTGAAAAACTTCGGTATACTCATCATTAGTATAGCATAAAAGTTTAATTACATTTGATTCACGCATTCAATTTTGCTGGTGTAAAACGTCCTGACACTTACAATATGCGGGCACTCTTTATTATCCATTCTGTGACGAAGTGAGGAAGGGCTTCCAGGGGTATAAAGCGTTTTTTTCTAAAATGAGGAAATTCGATAGAAATCGGGCTGAAAGTAAAAAAACTTGTGAATCGAGTTTTTCAAAACTAAAAAAACGTCGCCCAACGTGACTCGAACATGACGTGGCAACACTTCAAAACGGAAGTATGTCAAAAAACGAAAATCTGCGTTTATATTTCGAACTATTAGAATGACAAAATGCGAAATTCAAACAACATTCGAGGCCACCACTCGTTATAGCCAACCCCAAAAAATTTGAAGCCGTAAAAAAATTCTTCACCACGAATCCTTCCAGATCAAGTCCTACGGAAGCTAGGGAACTGAAAATTTCAAAAAGCTTGTTGTGCAGCATTTCAGTTAGTCAACTGGGGAATACAGAAAAAATCAAACCAAGCCTGGGAAAAAATGTTCAGGACCAGAAAACCAGGGTGCAAAAAAGTTGCAAAAAAACCAGTCGACAAATGTCATGAAAAATTTTCATCGTTTGTGACGAGACCTACGTCGACCCTGATCCCTTAAAGACTTCGAAAAGCACATTTTTTCACTCTGGCAACCCAGTGAATGTAGATTATCAACGGAAGTTGTACATGATATCTAAATTCCCTTCAAAACTCCAAGCAAGGCTTACATTGAGACAAATGGGCTTAAAATAGAAAACCCTCCAACGTCCCTATTTGCAAGAAATCGAAAAGATTTGGTTTTGTGGAATAGAAGGTACTCTGGCCTTCGCTACAAGGCCAAAAATCTGGAAAAATTCGAACGTTAATGGCGAAGAATCATAAGGACATTTTGAATTTCGAGTGAAAATCGCAAATTTGAGGGTTGTTGCGGAAAATCTGATTGGTGACTAAGAATGAACAAAGAGAAATCCTTCGAAACAAAAACTGACATGTCTGGTTCCTACCAACAATTTACGAAAGGCTTTGTAAATATCTACTAAGCAGGTCGAAATGCACAGGTCATTGAGCGCGGTTCCACTTAAGAGAATATGGATCATATGTGCATTAAAGAAGGTACTTAATTTAGGTAGGAAATTTAATTTAAAAAATTGCATACTTAACAGTTTTTTACACCTCACAGGAAGAAATTTCTTAAAATACTTGTTTCCAAAGATTTGATTTTATTACCTTGTCAACGTAGCATTGCATGCGAATTTTGAATTTAAGTTTTTGTCACAGCTTTCCCTGCTTCCATTTATCCAAACGACGATTTTGAAACATGTTCATCTCCGTGCGTTTAGTAAAAAATAAAGATTTCATTTCATTTATAAATCGATAATTTTTAGGTTCACAAAGTTTGGAGCTTAGAATTTTGATTTTGCGGAATGTAACTATTCAGCACTTGGACAACAAGTGCTGAACAGCGGGTTCAATTTTCCTAAATTTTCAAATTCGAATTTCAAATTCAAATTTAATTTTTTTCGGTTTATTTTGTACTCAATTGTTAATTTTAGCCTACTTTTAGCTCGAGTGACGTAACGCAGGACGTTGACCCCCCTCCCCCCTCGTCACATCTCGTAACACAACTCTCAGACCCCTCCCCCCCCTCTCGCGTTACATAATTTATGAACGGTCCCTGTGTTGTTTTGTCAATTTTTCGAGTTGAGATAATGGCATACTTGTGTGTTTTTTAATCATTAAGTTATTTGTGGTTTGTAAATATTTCAACGTTTTAGCTAAAAAAGGTTAAAATTTATTACCGGTTATATGTATTAAGACATTTCTGAATTTTAAAATCTTAAACTCCTACCATATTAAGATAAAGTAAATTAAGACATTTTTACTGGACGATTTAAGATAATCTCAGGGCTCATTAAATTTTACCCTAAAATTAGTCTCGTCAAAATCGGAAATAAACATCTAAAGGCTTCTGATTCTGAGAAGATCGTACAATAATTGGGACGTACGAATAATTGATATAAAAATAATTTTGACATAAATATCTACTTGTTCTTGGGTAAACTGAATTTGAATTTGAAGTTAAAAATCGTAGCATTAAATAAGTCAAATACTGTCATTTTGATAATTTTTTTGGTGCCCACGTCTGAAAATATCCTAGCCCCGCCACTGTTTAACCTTCATACATTCGCAACTATTCCAACGGAGGTTCCGTTAAATTTTGGAGCAGTGTTTCGAGGTGCGTCCACCAATCGTGTTGCTAGATGATCCAGCTTGTCTAGACCACTTTTCCCTTCAAAGTAAGTAGCTATGTATCTGTATTCCAGCAGTCACAACGTAATTCGACCATCCCCAACATAAAATTACAAAACATTTTTGAATGGCCCTACGTCAATAGTACCTATTTACATAAGACGGTTTTTGAACTCTCACCTGACCGACATCATGCCTTAACTTACATCAAGCTACGTTACACAATATTTATAAACAGGACCCATTGTTACCAACCAGGAAGCCAACCACACGCTCCAATTTCCTGGTTCAGTCATCAATCCAGTGCGGTTTATGTCCCATCTTTTCCAAAGTTGCTCAAAACGTACCAAATAATCGTAGCAGGTAAGAACTGATTTCATACTACCACCCCCGACACTACCCCCATTGTTCCTAAAAAGTAAATTTGTGTACTTATTACTTACTTATTACTCTTATTGAAATTTGAATGGTTGTAATTAATTTAGCAATTAATTTTTATACATTTTAAACTGGCTTGCAGATCGTGGCAGTTTATAATATCTCGGAAGCATCTATTTGGCTATCTTCGGAACTATGCACTCGAGCCCAAGAGTGGCGTTTATTATTCCACTTTTTATAGTCCATTGTTGGAGTTGGAATCTTGATGTTCCGGAACACTACGGCCCCATTTCTGAAGCCGTGATTGTGCTTGGTCGTGTCTGGTAAGACCCACGCGCAGCTCTAAATAAATTCCCACATCCACCAAACCATGGTCTGTCGATCGACCATCTAAGAAATGATGCATGACGAACCAATTGTTTATCTACGGTCCAGATGGGCCATACACCGTTACCACCTATGGATCTCGTACATATGCATACATACATGTAGGCTGTCCTGGAACCGTTCATACATGTTTTTTTCTATTTCTGCAGGTCGAGAAAGGATGAATTAACCCTGATACTCGCCGGCGACAACGGTGCATTTGTTTCTTCTCTTTTGCCCTCTGGAAAGCTCTGGATCCATAACGCGGATGGCAACAGAATTGAAGATGCATTCGAGAAAATCAATTACCCTGTACTCATTAAGGACGCAGTAACTGGCCAAGCCTTCTATAATTGTCCTGCCTTTGCAGTTCAGCGATCATCAGAAGATGACTTTGTTGCAGATTATTTTATGAACAAGATGATAAAGTCGGTTGGTAGCGTCAAATTTCTCGTCCCACTGGGAATAGAATTTATGATGCCCGGCGGAAATCGAGGCGAGTTTTTACTTACGCTTCAGGGGATTTCAAATTTGATACCCGACTTGGACAAATTTTTTGACTCAATCATACTCGTCCCGACGAGAGCACATAGCACTCGGAGCGAGGCAGAAATTTACACCAAGATCCAACTTTTTTTATCAGAGGTGGAGGGCTTTCTAAAAACTGAAATCCACGAACAAAGTCAGCCACAGATTCGCGAGGAAATGACAAGATTTCTTAACCTAACAAGCAATTTCTGTCGACCGGATAGGGTTGTTATTTTCAGGGAGCCGAATAAGAAAGGGCTAGTCAGTGCCAACAGAATTATACAGGGAAGCAGGAAAAAAACATGGGCAATTCTGGAAAACACACCGTTCGTTACTCTTCAACCTGGGGATTTCACTACTACGGCCATTCTAAAATCGGATGGCGAAGCCAAGAAGGTAAGATTCTTCCATTCTGTTTACTGTTTACTGTTTACTGGAGTTTATTAAAATGTCGCAAATCATCAGAAAAAATCTGCTTTTCAGATCAAGACACATACAATAATGAATTCATCTAAACTACACTAATAACTACAACAAATCATGGTTGCACATCTTGGTCACAATTCTGACCAGTGACAAAGTCACGTGCTTTTGATTGAAACAAACCATAAGACATATTACGTAATTCCCAGTCCTTCGGTAACGTATTCCAAATACGGTATCTTCTATACGTCAACGAGCGTTTAAAAGCTTGTGTCCTATGAATAGGCGCACACATATTAGGTCGGTTATAACTAATAGATCTCTCGGAAAAGGTTAACTTATCGAGTTTATAAAGTTTATACGCATTCTTAAGTAATACATAATTAGACCTTTCCTCAACAGTAAGTAAATTATTATCTGTTCTGAATTTTTTAACATCAATTCCTTTTTTAACCTTAATAAGTGAACGCTTTCTTGTAGAGTATGATTTCGCAAGCTTCTGATTTTTGTTATGTAAGCATATTTATTTAGCAGGGGAACACGCTAACATGTTAACGAAAGATCTCGATGCCCGTCGTATATGTATGTGTGTGATAATTCCATGTGAAGAAACAGCGCTTTTTAGGCACGGCCCATTTACGCTCGTCACACCTCATTCAAGCGATGCGCAACCCTAGCTAGTCATAAAGCATCATGAAACATCTAATTCTGCTCCGATTCTCATATTTAGGTTACTCCATGAGTTATGGTAATGGACCTGATGTGAAAAATCGATTTTTTTGAAATCCTTCAAGTATGTGTTAGAGGATCTTAAAATATGGATAAAAATCATTCTTCCCGAATTTTTACGGTTTAAATAGGGCTGATAGGAGGGGGTGTGGCTTCCCTGGAGATACCACCTTTACGCAGCCGCTATTGCACGTAGGGACTTCACATCAACCTACAATGGGCAGATACAATTGCTGGTCTTAAATTCCCTCATTTTGTGTTACCGATGGTTAGATGCCAACCGTGCTATTAATTTTTTCAAAAATGGACCTGGTCGATTGTAATTAGCATCAATTGATGCTCACCCCATTGTTTCGCATCAGTGGGGATAACCGATTGTTCTATACGAACGGTGCTACTTATTCTAAAATTGTAGTCCTCCCTCGATAGAATTTCCCAAATGATTCGCACCATTTGCGTCAACGATTGTTTGATACCAGTGGTGCTATAAATTTCCTTGGCGACATAAAAAATTTCTCTAGCAACATAACAAAATTTCCTTAGCAACACAAACAAATTTCCGTAGCAACATAACGAAATTTCTTTAGCAACATTAAAAAAATTCCTTGGCAACATAAAAAAATTTAATTAGCAACATAAAAAAATCTTTAGCGACATTAAAAAATTCCTGAGCAACCTAAAAAAATTCCTTAGTGACAGAATTTGAAATATGGCCTGTCTTTAAGACGGGTATAATTTTACGGTTATCTTAACAATTAAATCGTTATGAATATCGATAAAGAATTTCACTTGGCTTTAAAGTAAAGCTTGGAGATACAATACATCTTCGCATTTTGGTTGCGAAAATACAAAAATCAAAATACACAAAAATAAAAAGTTGATGGGATTTTCAGAACCCTTCCAGTTTTCAACTTATTGCCCAATGACACAAATACTTTATGCCCAGAAATATTTTTGAGAAGATAAACCCATTTTTTAACTTAAAAATTCAGTTTATGGACTTGGGCCAATTTTATGTACATACATCTATCATTTTAGATTCGCATTTTTATACACGTAGTTGAATTAGATCCAAGTGCCCTACCCTTGGAGAACTTCCAGACAGGGTCATTTCTCCATTATTGACAAACTCGAAAGTTTAGGCTATTGGATTTTTGCCGGGATTGTTCGTTTGTAAATTATGTAAAATGTTGCTGTTAATTTTGTAGATGCTGGAGGCGATAGTTGAACAAATGAAATCGATCATAAAAACGCAACTCGTCTCTCTAGAAGAAATTGTAAACCTGTCCCAAGCCTCGCGGGACTTTCTGAGGGCAGCAAAATTGTTGAGAAATATGCTACAAGTGCTGCAAGAAACTAAACAAAGATGCTGAAGGCTGGAAAATGGACCGAACTGGGTAAACTATTGAGAGGATCATTCATCAAAATTAAGATATATTTGCCATTGTCTCTAACAGAGGATATGAATAAATATCAAGAGTTCCTAAATCATGTGCAAAGTTACACGATCAGTCTACTAAAACTACTAAAATGGTCTAATTCCCTGGCCCTATTTGCGCCCATGAAATCATGAAATGATGAAGGAGTAAACGTAGTGAAGTAGATGAAAAACTGTCACCTGATTCACTCATTCATCTCCGGGCAAGAAGGATGAAGGAATTTAGGGCAGATAATTATATTGCGTGCTGAAGTCAGTGTGGCAATGTTAATAAAATTACGTCTCATATTGCTCCAGTCTAGCCTCAAATAGCCACAGGCCAGTCTCATATTGGTCATTAGAGAGCGTCAAAATCTTTAAATTATTAGTACAGGAGGGACCAAATGAAAGAATGACTGAGGGAAATGAATGGAATGAAGTGTGAATTCAATTCATCATTGAGTGAAGCCGCACGCAGCCTTCCATCACGCGAGTGATGGGAGTTAACGAAAATTTAACTAGAGGTGGAAATGAGTGAAGTTCAGTGAAGTTCATTTGGATAGGTGACGACATCCAAAATTAAATCTTCCAGGGGTGTGCCCGTCAGCTATATACTTTTAGGTTTTTGCTAGTATACATATTACATATTGCATGCTAGCAGTTGATGCAACTTAACTTAGGCGTCAAGAACCGCAGAAGCTGAGGTTAAGCTGTGGCTTAAGTTTTGAGTATTCAGGTGGGATTGTCTCAATTGGTTGAGCAAAGTTATGCATTACATATCACGACTGTATAGCTTTAGTTTTCATCCAGGCAACCACCTGAAGATGTGGCTTTTTAATTTCTAACGTTGCTAGGAATTGCCGCATCCAACTGAAAGAAATGATCGCAACCACTTTGAATCTAAAGAATTACACCCACTTTGCCTCTGGTTAAATTTCAAAAGTTCTGTCAATACTACCCATAGTGGGCCAAACTTTCCTCATTTAAGTTTACAATAATGTTTTCCAACAACGCTGTATACCCATGCGTGCATGTACATAGTTTTGTAATTGTAATTAAATAGGTCTTTCAAATCGTGCATTCCTGGTGCAAATTTTTTTTTTGCGAACGAAGTACAATATTATACTTTGTAAATTTACTATTCAGAAAATTTCCGTAAAGTGTTTCCGAGGAAAGTTCAGAAACTTACAATGCACCCCTTTTACATGTATGACTGAGATCTCAATGGTACCAATTTTATTTTGTTCACCACAAGAAATAAACATATCCGTATTTTTCATTTCTCCTAATGCGCTACTTTGAGAGCATTAGGGCCAGGCGCGAATTTTAAACTGTTTTCCAGCCAAAACCTCAGTTTTTAAAATTTCTGTAAATTTTCGAATGTTAGCGCGAATCCAAAAACTCAAAAACATGTATCTTGAATGAATGACTTGGGAGTAGGGTGGAACATGTTGTCAGTCCCCGATTTTGATGTCCTTTGGATATGTTGTAGTACTGTATGAGTGTGCAAAAAGTGAAGGAGGGTTAGACTCCATTAGCCTATTTACGCTCGCCACACCCCTTCAAAGGCGCCAAAACCCCCAATGGGGTTGTCGCACTAAACTCATGGCCAAAAATCGAGTTTTGCTTACAAGGGAACATACCGAGGTGTCCAATGAGTTAAGGGTCGACACCTATACCAAAATGACCACAATACATGACTTGTTAAACAAACTGAAGGAATTTCCGTGTAAAATTCACTTTTCGTCAAGTTGTGACGATATTTGTGACGAGCGCAGGGCCATCGGGTTGCCAGCGAGGGAGAGGTAGGCCGCTGAACGATAAGGTCGACCACAGAGAAGCGTCGTCGTCTTCACGTCGTCTTCAGAGATTTCAAATTCTTTCAAATTTTGAAAACATCTTGAAATTTTGAAAAAAATTTGAAATTTCTTCAAAATTTCAAAATTTTCTCAAAATTTCAAAAATTTCTCAAAATTTCAAAATTTTCTCAAAATTTCAAAAATTTCTCAAAATTTCAAAATTTTCTCAAAATTTCAAAAATTTCTGAAAATTTTTTCAAAATTTCAAGATGTTTTCAAAGTTTGAAAGAATTTGAAATCTCTGATGACGACGACGCTTCTCTGTCGACCTTATCGTTCAGCGGCCGACCTCTCCCTCTCTGGCAACCCGATGGCCCTGCGCTCGTCACAAATATCGTCACAACTTGACGAAAAGTGAATTTTACACGGAAATTCCTTCAGTTTGTTTAACAAGTCATGTATTGTGGTCATTTTGGTATAGGTGTCGACCCTTAACTCGTTGGACCCCTCGGTATGTTCCCTTGTTAGATTTGAACGAAATTTACATTTTTGTGATCCCAGATAGTTGTGGCTAATCCAGTGGCAGACTCATTTTTATTGAAATTTCGAATTTTTTAAAATTCATACCCCTGGTCAGAAAACTTCAATAATATTGAATATTTCAAAAAAATTAAGATATTGGATATGATACAGTACTACAACATATCAAAAGGACATCAAAATCGGGGACTGACAAATGACACCCTACTCCTTAGTTGATTTATAAAAGATCCGAATGCAATATTTCTTGAAAATTTAAAAATTTGATAGTTTGTAATCTTAATGAATTTCAAAAACTGGCCAAAAATTTTGAAATGCAAATTTGAAGACAATTGAATTTTTAATAAGTCCGGTAAATCATTTTGCAGAAATATGTTTTCGAATTCTTGAACTCGTGCTAAAATTCGAAAATTTACAGAATTTATAAAAACTGAGGTTATGGCGGGAAAACAGTTTAAAATTCACCCCTCGTGCTAAACCTAGTACATTACAAGAAATGCAAAACGGGTATGTTTATTGTTTGTGGTGAACAAAATAAAACTCGTCCCACTGACAAGGGAACCTCAACAACTGTCTCGCCTCGATTTCCTTCCGAATAGCCTTAATCAGCAGATAATTTAGTCAAACTAAAACTTCGTTATACACCATGCGGTCAGCGTTGCTGGATCTCGTTTTCGCAAAATATTTGGCGAGAGCTGTACCAGATCGTCTCATTTTCTCAATGCTTTTGAGGTAGACAACAGCCTTTGGAATGATGCAATTAAGTTTACACAATATTGATATTAAATTATGATCCTGCCTGCGTAATTTTGTTCCGATCAAAATATTCAAAAAAGTGATGAAAACATTTACCAAATTTTTTTTGCAAATTGCGAAAATGAATTTCGTTTTTTTAATTCAAGATTCAAGCGGAACTTTTTTCCGCACAAAGAAATTTGTTTTTAAAAATACAAGGTTCTCACTCTGAAAAATTAGCAAAAATTTTTAATTTTACAAATATGCAACATATTCAACAAATCATGAAAATATTTATGATAATTTTAATTAATGAAGGATAGAAAAGTTCGGTGAAGGTGTAAAAATGACGAGTTACTCTTGCTTTATTTACCATACGATCCTCGACGTCAGCGCCGTAGCGACGGTGGAGAGACGTGGAGAGACACTCTCCAGGCCGTACGGCCAGAGGGGCCGTACCGCCAGGTCAACAATATAGTACACTAGGTAAAATCAGGGTCAGCAATAATGTACACTAGGTAAAATCAGGGATTTAATAATTTTGGGGAGCATATGAGGCCGTACCACGGGAAAACTCTCCAGGCCGGACAAAACGTCGCTACGGGCCTGCTCGACGTCATCACTCTCATTACTGATAGCGTTGCAGTGGTGACGTCGAGGGTCGTATGGTAAATAAATTGACTGTAGATTTAGATTTTTATGACTTAACTAACCTCAGATATATGTATGTATAACTAAAATATTTTCATGACAGATTCTAAATTACAATTTTTGAAAATGTTCACGAATCTTTGCAATAAGAAAAATATATTTTATGGTAAGTTTGATAAATTCAGTTGAATTTCAAAAACAACGAAATTCAAATTTTCTAAATTTTGCAGATTTTTAAAATTTGCAAAACAAAATTTGCAAATGTTTTCATCACTTTTTTTGCATATTTGGATCGGCACAAAATTAGGCGGACAGGTTCATAATTCATTATCAATATTGTCTAAACTTCATTGCATCATTCCAAGGGCTGTTGGCTTAAAAGCATTGGGAAAATGACACGATCTGGAACAGCTCTCGCCAAATATTTTGTGAAAACGAGATTTTGCACCACATGTTCTATGACAAAGTTTTAGTGTCACTAAATTATATGTCGACTAAGGCAATTCCGAAGGAAATCGAGATGGGACATTAGTTGTGGTTCCCTTGTGAGATCTGAGTTATACACGTGAAAGGCGTGCATTGTAAGAATGAATTGTTTCCAGATTCCATGCTGAGGTTCAAAATCGGATATGGTGGAAATGGCGGTCAAAATGGAGGGGCGGGGGGGTATCCAAATGGCATCAAAATCTATGCTAACGGGACTCTGAGATGGGAAGGTGTCGATGCCTTCCTGTGCCATGACAAACCTCGATGTCGCGATCGGTATCATAGTTCTCGACAGCTAGAGTGTGGGTTACCTGGATCTAAAACATGCTACCCAACAGATACCACAAATTATAGCGAAGCAAAATGCTGCACTATTGATGATCCAATCTGGTTGGACAATGAGCTCGATGGAAAAGACTTTGAAGCAGGAAGTGACGCTCGAGAAGGATTTCCACCGCCAGGTCCACCTCCGAAACCAATTTATGAATATCTTAACAGCTACATGGAGCATATTCTTTCCAATAAAGCCCAATTTAATATATTTAGCAACAGGACAGAACAGTTTTTACAGCACTTTCGAAGCGGGATATCTATCGAAGGCACTTATGGCACACTGGGATTTACAAAACTACTCGAACTTGTTAGGACTTTAGTACGAAACAAGCCTGATGATCAGTACTTGAGTATGCTCTTACAGGAGATAATATTTGACATGGTTCTATATGTTCGTAACCCGAGGTTCAAACAACTTGAGGCTGAGTGTGGGAGCTGTAAAGACA